TTTGTGGTGGAAACAAAATAAAAAATTAATTTTAAAAAAGATTTAAAAGAATATCAATTTAAGGGTTATTTAAGTAGATAAAATATATATTTAAAATTTTGGTGTAGTAAACAAATTTTGTAGTGGTAATATAATTATTTTGTAGGTATGGAAAATTTAATTTGGAAATTATTATATGAGATTACTGCACTGAAAGAAGAGGAATAGAGGAAAAATTAAAAGAAAAGAAACATCACCATCGAACTGAGGTGAAAAAGACGAGTTACAGGATGGTGGTCCAACATCACAGCACGAATCCAAAAATCTTGATTAGACAGCTGAATACAAGAGTTTCACCTTCACTCTCTCACCCCTGTCAATCTATAATAATTAATTCAGATGAAACCAAAATCCTCCATGTTGCTGGTGTATAAATGTTTCAAAAGAACCTTAAAAGGGTAAAAAAGAAAAGGTGTGCGCGTTTGTACATTCTTGAGTGCCTCTTTCAATATCCATTCTTGTGACACGGATATGTTGTTTCATTTCATCCCTCTTTTAGTTTATGGGTTTGACTCCTTTTCATCACTCTCTACAGTTGTTGGCCAGTAGTTCTTTATTTCTCATTCAACTCCTCTTTAAATGCAATTCATGATCATTAGTATTCTATTTTATGTTCATTTATATGTAATCAATGCAATCTCTTCTTTTTCTTTTATTATATAAAAAGGAAATGTTTCTACAGGTTATTTTGTGGTGGTCTAGACTCTGGATATTTTAGTGTTGAAGTTTGGTATGGTTGACTTACTGTAAGCTTGTTTTGATTGAATTCAGGATTTTGGCATTGTGGGTTTCATTTAACCTGCTAAACTGTTGGTGAAGTGGAATTTCTTGTTTGATTTCAGCTCATGCTTGTTTTTGAAATTTCGTTTCGTGCTTATGTTATTAGTTGCTTTGGAATTTCTGATGAGTATTCTTTTACTGAGATTGAAATTGAGTCTGTTTGAGAATGTTGAATTTTGCGCAAGCTTGAAATTTTGCTGTATACAACTGCTACAATTGTTTCTAAATTGATTTTTGATGTTAATAAATGAGAAAGATATTATTTACAATCCTTCTTTTTAGTTATGAAGCTTGTTTTGAATGAAGTTGAGGGCTCACTTAAAGGTTTATATCTCATAAATGGAAATCTCTTTGATACCTCTGTTACATGTTTCCCCAAAAAATAAAGCTGTAGTCTTTGAAGTTTAAACACTAATGATGCATTTGATGGAGAGAATTGAAGGAAGAAAAAGAAATTAAAAGTTTTCAATTTTGTTCAGAATACAGTCGAGTCCTTCTTTTGCTGCATGAAAAACATGCAGTATAAGCAATGATCACCTATCTAAAATTTGGCAATGAAAGGGTTTCCATCTCAATCCTGGCAATTTGTCAACATATATCCAAGATGCTACACAGAAAATGTGTGTTTAAATGAAATAGACTCTGGTTGCTCCTTCTAGAGTCCTGAATAATCTGTTTGAATTTGCTTTTATAAACGTCAACTGTTAGCAGTAAATATGCAACATCTTCGATACAATTAAGGTTTCAGAAGTGATTTACATGTCTATGTCTAATCTTGATTTTCTTAGAGCAGTTCTGTCTTGTGAAATTGGGGATTTAAACTGAAATACGGAGATTTTTTGGGAAATGAGTTAGTATTTATAAATTACAAAGTAATGACCAAGAACCATTACTCTGTATTATATTCTACTATCTAATAGCCAGTTATGCATATTGTTTCATAAAACTGGAAGTTACCAGGTTTTTAATCGAGTCAAATTCAAATTTCACTTTGTAGTTTGTTTTCTTTGGTGATTTAGCTTCATCAGAATCTTATTCCTCTAAAACAATTTACTATACACTACATTTTAGTAACTGGATTTGGTGGAACTATCTCTTATTTACAATGTGCCAGGTTCGAAATTAAGGTGTACCCTCGTTTTTCATCCATTTGTCAACCCAGAATATGCACAAGAAGCAACACGTGGCTCTGAATTAATTTTGGGACTGCAAGAATGTCTGGGTTCTCCTTTCCCTGCAGTTTACTAAAAATATTTGTTCTTTTATGCGATTGTGAAGCTATTCTTCTTCAGTTATTGCAATGTGTCAAATATTTCTTGCTTATATTTCGGCTGACTTCTAAACGTGTGTATGAGCTATTGGCTTTATTTCTTGCATGTGCTCTCCAGTCTCCACAGTTTGCTTCAGTTAGATAATGGCTATTGTTGACTCTAAGGCTTTCGATTATGCAGTCTTGAAGCAGCAAATTTTTAGATTTTTTTGGGCAGCAGAATCCATGCTACAGAATTTTCAACGGCACGAGTTCTCATTTTCCTTTGTTACATTTGTTGTCAGAAATTCGACTATCCCAATCGAAAGAACAAATAAAAGAGCAGGAAAAACGGAAAAAGAAGAAGATGAAGCGAG